AATGTTCTCGAGCGCTTTCATCGACCAGGCGTCTCGCAGGCCCGAGTTGGTGACGCGCGCCTCCATCTCCGCGGCGAACCTGGCAGCGCCCCTGGCTCTGGCGAGGCGCCCCTCGAGCATGAGCATTCGGTCGTCTTCTGGCGGCCGCAGCTCGGCCCGCTCCTCGGCCCGCTGGCCCGAGCCTGTTTCCGCGCAGCCCCTGCATGTTGAGCTCGCCGCCCCTGGCCGCTGCCTCCGAGCGGCGCGCGGACCCGTGCTCGGCGGCGACGCCTTCAGCTGCGTCAGCCACTCTGGCCCAGAGGCGCGCTCTGACCGCCGCGGGCCCCGGACCCCCCCGGGCCCCCGCGCGGGCCTGGCGGCGCCCAAGCAGTCGATGAGCAGATTGAAATTCCCGATGATCTCCGCGAAGGCAACTACCGCCGCGTTGTCTCACCCGGCCCGCGCCGTCTGGGGGGGCAGCAGATCTGGGGGGACCGCGCCGCAAGCCTCGGCAATCATCTCGCCCTTCCGGCGCCGTGCCGACCGCCGCCTGCGCTGCGCACCTCAGCTGCGCGACGACGGCGCGGATGCACGAGCCGTCGGCGAAGACGAGGGCGCCCTCGGGAACCGCCGGCGCGCCGCCCCAGCCTCGAGCGCACCGCCCCCATTGGGGCCGCCACCGCGGCCGCCGCAGCAAGGGCGCCAGGCCCGCGAATAACCCAATCCCAATGAGCTCGAGGATGGGCTGGCCCAGCATGGAGACCGTCTCCGCAGCCCGCTGCAGATCCTGAGGCAGCCTGTCGCGCCGCCAGGGCTCCCGCGCTGGGCAGCGATAGCGCCCGTGGAGGACCGCGCCGCCCTCTCCACCGCGCAGCAGGCACTTCCTTTCGATTCCTGAGTACTCGGCCAGCCTCGCCTAGGGCCAGTGCGAGAGCGCGACCAACCAGCGGAGGCAGCCGCAGCGGTGCTTCGCCCAGACCTCCGTCTTCGCCGGCAGGAGGAGCTTGTTGATCGGCCGCCAAGTCGGCGCGAGCTGCTGCGGCCAGAGGGGCCCGGGGCGCTCGCGAATCTCCCCCGGCGACGCCGCCTTCCTGGTGGCCTCGCGAGATCTCTCGGAAAGGAAAGCGGCGGAGAGCCTCGAGACCTCGAACTCGCAGCCGATCTCACCAGCCAGACTGTCTCCGTTGACCGTCAGGCGCCACCCGATGCGCTCCAGGGCCAGGGCGAGCGCCGCGATCGGATCCCTGACTGCAGTCCACGGCCTCGAGCAGCTGCCGAGGCGGGCGCTCTCCTGCAAGCTGGCCTTCACTGCAGCGTGGAAGGCTCGGCCCGACCAGCGCGCGCTGACATGGGCCTGCGCAGCCACCCCTGTGGCCACCACCAATAGGTCTTGTCTCCGGCCTGTCGCATCGCGCCGCAAGCCGAAGCTGAGCAACGCCCCAAGTGCACGACGCCCAGCGCACCTCGCCGCCGCAATTCGGAGGGCCCTCGTCCAGCCAGGGGAAATGCCAGACGCGGCCGACCCCCAGAGCGCATTGGCCGCGGGGCCCGCTCGCGCGATGCGCGGCTGGCGTGGCCCGGGCCCGAAGATCCTAGTGAGCCGTGCCGGCTTCCTCATCGCGTCGTGCTCTCGGGCGACCTGCGCCGCCACGCTGAAGTGCCCCCCCCGCGAAGGTATCGCCCCCAAGATCGCTGTGGCCCGAGACAGAGGCCGACTGCGGATCGGGTCCGCTGCGGGTGGTCGAGCAAGGCCCGCTGGAGATCGGCCGACGACACCGGCGCCTTCGTCCTGCCCCAATTGAGCGGGAGTTTCTCGCCCTCCGGCACGGCGACCATCCCGTCCGCGAACTTGGCCATCTGGCGGACCAGCGCCGCGCGGGGCCCGACGCCGCGGCCCGCGACGCCATCGATCGCGCTCGCCGCTCTCCCGACAGGCAGCAGACCGCGCCCCTGGGGCAGCACGTCGCGCAGCATGAGCCGCGCCACTGCGGCGGCGCAGGCGCGGCCCGCGATGGCGGCCCCACGCGCGGAGATGACCGTTCACTGCCGCGTCGGCCGCGGCCCACCTCGGACCAGAATAGGCCGCGCGCAGCGTTCGCACCAAGCTTGCGCTGAAACCCTGCGCCTCGGCGGCTCGCCTGAGGACGTCGTGGTCGATCCTCTCGTACTACTTGCCAATGTCAAAGTAGACTGAGGCGCCGTCGAAGCCAGCGGCCCGCGACAGCCCGAGGTGGAGGTTGCGCGGGCAGGCCGCGCGGGCGCCGCGCGTGTCTGAGCTCTGGCCCCAGACCTCAGGAAGCGCGCGGTCGGCTTCCCATCTCGCGGAGCAGCGTCGCCCGATGCGGCCCCGGATGCGCGGCCGCGCGCGCGCCCGCCCGATCGGGCGCCGCCCGCCATCAGGCTTGCCCAGAAATACAATGATAGCGGTGAGGAAATTGGAAAGCAGTCGACGCCTCCCCCGCGCCGCGAGGACCTCGGCTAGGCGCGCGGCGAACGGGAGCCGAGGTACGCGAGCAGCCGCGGGTGGGAGGCGCCCCAGCCGAGCGCAACCTCGAGGACCTCGTCCGCCGCTGTCGCCGGCAATCCCACCGCGCGCCCCCAATCAGCAGGTCGCGCAGTCCGGCCGTGCCCAGGTCCGCTCCGCAGAGCCCCCCATTCAACCGAGATGCGATCCAACGCCCGCTGCCCGATCAGCGGCGCGGGCAGCCCTCCGCGAGCGGCTCGCCGAGGGTGGGCGCCCCCTCTCCGTGGACCTTCTCGATGACAGCGTGGGCCCCGCGCCCCCCCCTGGCCAGGGCTTCGTCGACGAGCTCCTTCCAGCGCCCCCTGCTGCGCAACGTGTCCGCCTTGACATAGGTTGCCGTCGCAACCGCAGCGGTTTCCTGGAACCGCGGCCCTCGCCGCGAGTCCGCGTGCAGCTCGGACTGCATGGAGTTCGCGCGCGAACGGGTGGAAGGGCGGCGCGCCCTCGGCGCCGAACGCATGCGCCGCGGCCCGCGGGCCTGCAGGCTGCCGTCGCCACCGCCGCCAGCTGCAGCTGCTTCGCCAGGAGGCTCAGCGAGATCCACGAGCGGGCGAACGGGCTGACCCTACTCGCGGTCTCGGCTGCCGCTCGGCTTCCTGCCCCTCGACGCCGAATCTCGGCCAGGTGCAGCTCGGCAACCTCGTAGAACTCGCGCGTTGCCTCGTCGGGGCGGCCTGCGGCGTCCAGCAGCGGAGCCTGCCGCCGCACTCCTTTGGCCGCGTCGTCTGCTGCCGGCCTGGTCTCCTCGCCCGCCCCCGCGGTGCGCCTTCGCTTGGGGCCTGGGCCGGTTGAACTTCAGGCGAACCGGTGCGCGTGGGCGAGTCGTCGCGGGGCGGAGCACCTCCACCTGAGGTCTCGGGGCAGCCAGGGGCGCCAAGATCACGGAGTAGTCATGCGCGCGATCACCGCGCGAGGGTTGCGCGGGCGCGACCAGCGCGCCGCCGACATCTCTGGGCCGCCAGGAGCTTTCGAGGAGGTGGGGCCCCATGCCCCAGTCAGTGCCGACGATGAATGGGCTCCGAGAGCTCTCCGAGGAACAGCTGCCAGTTCCTAAACAGGTCTACGTTGTACCCTTGCAACCCCGAAGAGTGCTCCAGGTAGGCACTGACCATAACGACGCCCAGGTCGCCGAAAGCCACTCTCCTCGCGACAAGCCTCGCGCATTCGGGGCCCCACTCCTGGTCCACCACGTTGACTCCTCGGTGCTTCGCCGTGAGGATGGCCACACCAGACGACGCTGCCTGGGCTGCTGAGCTTGTCCTGCGGCAAGGGCTGAGGGTCGCGTGTAACCCGTTGCGGCCCCTCCACCCCATCGCCGAGCCCTCAGCCTGCTGCAACGCGAAGCGGATCTCCTGCAGCAGGAAGACATCGTCCGTGGCCCCGCGTCTAGCAGGCCTTCGATGGCGGTCTGCTCCTCGGCCCAAGTGGAGCCGTTCAGCGTCGCGATGCTGGCCGACGAGGGTCGCGCCCCCGACGGCGGGGGCGGGAAGCACCCCGCGAGCGTGAGTACCAGCTTCTCGTCCGACTGGTCCTTGCCCGAAACCACGACGCCCTCCCACATAATGGTTACGGGGTTCAGTGCGATCGCTTGCCCCGCTTCCACCGCGAAGCCTGGGCCAGGTTCCATCTTCCTGTTCTGACCACCTCGCGATGTGGTGGCCAGGGGCTCCAGCTCCTGGTGACGAACACCTCCCTGACCGAGACCTCCGGGGCCGCCCCCCTGGCGACGGCGCCACTGCCGCTCCCGCCACAACCACGGGCCCCGCCAGTGTCGCCTCAGTGCTCCGGTCAACCACCACTGGGGGACCTCCTGCTAGCGACGTCGACCGTGTCGGATAGGGCGTCGGTTCAGGGTCTCGGGCCACCTCCAGAGCTACGCCTGACTGGATGGCTACCCCCGCGCTGGCTCATCAGCAGGCCCCACTGCACCAGGACCCTCGACCAGGGGCAAATCCTCGGTGATGGCCGCGCCCGCAGTGGCCAACCCGCGCGCGAGCTCGGGGCCTGGCCTGGACCATGGGCCCGCGCCGCGGCATCCCCTGAGCGCTCCCCTTGCCCGCGGTCGGCGGCAGGCTGCTGGGGGCAGGGGGAGGAGCCGCTGGCAGCGCCCCGAGCAGGCGGGCCTGGGCGGATGCAGCCTGCTGCGGGCGACAGGAGTTTCACGTCGTCGTCGTCGTCGTCGTCGTCGTCGTCGTCGTCGTCGTCGTCGTCGTCGTCACCGACCTCCGCAGGGCAGCTGTCGGCCCACGCCGTACGGGCTGATGGACGGAACGGCCCGCGCTCTCGTATACTTTCGTCGTTTTGGGGGGGGGAACCAGTCCCTAACGCAGCCTCCCAGAGGCCCAACAGAGACGAACACACGCCAGGAGTGCGAGGCGCAGACTTCTCCAGATCCACCGCCTGGGAATCGACGTCTGGGTGCCCCAGCGGGCGGTGGATATGGATGGATTCTGGCCTCCGGGGGCCCGAATATGTCCATGTCCAACGCCTGTGGAAGTCCGCGAAGATCGATCCCCCATGGGCGATGGTTATGGATAAATTCCCGCTGACTCGACCTGCCCTCGTCCGAGCCGGCTGGTCCGCTAGGGTTTCCGCGTCAGAACCGACGTTGCGAAATAAATCCGACACTGCGAAGAAGCACGACCGGAGCCCTACAGACACCGTTCTCCTGCGGCACTTTTCGAGCCGCTTCGACCTCCCATGGCCCGGGGGCCCGGCAACCGGGCGAAGACGCCAGGCGTGACAAAATACAAAGGCAGCGCCCGGCGGCGGGCTCCAGGCCCGGTAGCACGCGGCCACGGTGAGCAGAACGGCGGCCATGGACCGGCGGTTCAAAGACGGGGTCCTAAGGGATGGAGGCCCAGGGACGAGGGGCCGCGAACAAAGTTGAGCCAGGACCGACCGTCCCAGCATTCCTACCACGACATGTTCTTAGAACCCAAAACTGTTCTGATAACAGAAGCAAGTTTCTTTGAACAAAAACCCCACGTGTTAAAATAAGACAGCCTCGACAGAAATATTCTAAAGAGCATTTCGTGCAGACCACAAGAGGTTCTTAGAGCACTCTTCGGTGGGCCCATAGGCGAGCCAGGACGTTTCACCACTGCTTGACGATGTAAACCCAGCCTTGGCCTCCTTCCTGTCGCCAGGGCCCCTTCCCTCGGGCGACGAGACCTGCACGTGTCCCCCATCCTGGGCCCAGCAGCGGTGCACACGCCCCCCCTGACCTGGCCAGAGACGAAAATGCACCGATCCTGGGCCTGGGATCGGCCTGGCCAGACGCGGTGCACAGGTATGGATACGGGGACCCAACCCCCAACACATACATCACCACCACCACCACCTTCCTCGCCCCCTCCCTCTCCCAGGAAAGAGGAGGGGAAGAGGAAGGTGGAGCAGGGAAGGGGGAAGGGAGGCGGTGGTGGTGCATATTCTTGGGACCCGCAATCGACTGAACAGCCGGACCGATGATAGAAGACCATCCTTCAAGAACATCCCTCTGCCGGCCAAACTGAAGAACCTTTCAGAGTGCCCTTCTCCAGGATGCACAGGAACATGCAACGAACACGAAAAACACGAAAGGGTGCCCTCCCCGAGCCAACCGCGATCTTGTAGCTCGGTCCGACCGCATAGACATCGTCGCCCGACCCCCTCAAGGCCCCCGTTGGACAAGCGCGCTCCACTACTCGCAAATCAACTGCTCGCATGGATCAGCCGTGGGGGAGCTGCGCCACACTGCATCGCTGACGACACATGTTTATTCGGACGCCTGCGAGTAGGCACTCTGCGAGCAGTGGCGTGCGCTCGGCGAGTCTTTAAGCCGCCGAGGTGGAGGCGAGGGGCACGCCCACGGCCAGCGCCTGCAGCCAGCCCCGCCGGCGCGCCGCCGGCAGCAGCCACGCGAGCGGCGCGAGCCTCTCGGGCGGCAGGCCGCGGCGCGCGCGCGCGGGGCGGCGCCGCTCCGGCCACGGGCGCGCTCGCGTCGGCGGCAGACGCCGCGGCGGGAGGCCTCTTGGCCACCTGCGGCCTCCAGGGCCCCAAGAGGCCGCGCCCAGTCTGGGTCTTCACGACGCGAGGGGCGCCCGGAGTCGTGGTCTGGGCCTTCAGGCGGCCTCGCGTCGTGCAGACCACGGCGGGAGGCTTTCGGCCATGCCGGGCCTCGGGGGGACCTCGCTGGGCCGCGGGGCCGTCAGAGAGCGGCGCGGGATGGCGAGCCGGCCCTGCAGGGAAGGGTCGGGACTTCCGGGGACCGCGCGCGGGCGCAAAAATCAGGGCATCGCGTGTCTGGGGCCGCGCTGCCCCCCTCGGAGACGACGGCCTGGCTCGGCTCGCTCGGGTGTCGGTAGAAGTGGCTCTGGCCCCTGGGTGTCCCCAATCTGTCTTGCCTTTCTGGAGCCTCCTGGGGCCCTCTGGGCCTCTCGAGGCCGTCAGAGCCTCCCTGGAAATCCTGGAGGCGCCTTGCCCTAGCTCCAGATCCGCCCTACTTGGAGAGCAATTTCGCAAGAAGGGTGGCATGATGTTGATTGTTGATGTTGATGTTGATTTCCGCCCTACCTTGCCATCGCTGCTTCCGCCCTTCTTTTCGCGCAAACAGCCGCCCTGTTTTGGCTGAGGCGGAGATTTCCGCTCTATCTTGTTCGCATCGTTTGGGGTACATGCCCGACATTAACCTGAGGATCGGAAGATCGACCAAAGTACAGCGGAGCCGAGGCCAAAGTTGGCCAAAAACACTCCTGGCCCCCCTCGGCTCGCGCCCCGCACGGAGATCTACTGGCCCAGGTCGGTCCGAACCCGGATCGGTCGGGCTCTGCAGGATCCTGCGAGCTCCTGCAGGATCCGGCGCTCTGGCCGACCCCCGCTTTGAGGGGCAACTCTGGGGGGAGATAGGCACAGGGGGGAAATAATCAACCTGGAATCGGCGATGCATCGCTGATAGATCGGCGATCGGCCCCCGACAGTGTGTCCGCACGTTCCTGGGCAGGTTGGGGCTCTCCGGCCCCTGTCGGCGATCAATGGGCGATTGGGGGACGATGGGCCCCCCCTGTGCCTGTCCCCCCCCCCTATCATTGCCCCGGATGCTTGCCCTGACCGCCGTCTCGAAGCCCCCGACCCGCTCGGGGATCTTCTGACCCGGGTCAATCCCAGACCCGGGCCAGTCAGGCCATGCAGGATCCTGCAAGATCCTGCAGGATCAGTGCACCCCTGGCCGTACAGGATCCTGACTGACACCCCGTTTCGGGGGCGCGCAAACGTGGATTAGCGATCCATGCATCAGGCGCGCGGTCGCCAAATCCATGGATCGTGGGAGGTGCCCTCCCCAAAATGCGGCGGTGCCGCCTCGTTCGGCGGCGGAAATCCGCGATTTCCAGTGGAAACGGGACCCGTCTCTCATCCACGCCCCCTTAATCCATGTTTGCGATCGCCTGACCGTTGGCCCCGCACCCCGCCTCGAGGCCCCCGACCCCGCGCCGCGCCCCGCCGAGCACGGCCGAGCACGGCCGGACCGGGGGCAGCGGCAGGCCGAGAGCGGTTCGGCGGGCCGCCCACTCTCGCGAGCGGCAGCCCCGAGGCCCGGGCGGGGCAGGCCCTGCACGCGGTTCGCGGCGTCGGCGGCCAGGCAGAGTGACGGCGCTGGCGAAGAGTTAACTAAACGGGGGTACCGCTGCAGCGAGTTGTGCCACCGTGCAGGGAGAGGGGGAAGAGACAGAAGAGACGGCCGAGCGAGAGGGGGGGGGGAGAGCGCAATCCCTGCACACGGGGCGCTCCCACCGCCTGGTCTCGGGGCCCCGGGACTACCGGGAGCCCCCGCGTGCCGCGTGCGCCAGGGGTTCCGAATGTGCATCAGCAAGCCCGGGTCCGCCCCATCCTTGGCCGCCAGGCTGCCCTGGCGAGCCGCTGCGGGAGGGCTGTCCGATCTCACCTCCCTCGGTTCGAACTTCTTGCTGGAGCTGCGATGCCCCTCCGCGGGCTGAGGCGTAGTGGACCTACTGCGCCAGGACACCGAACGATCCGCCGCATGCACCGCGCACATGGGGATTCCGTCTTTCTCCGTCGTCTTCTCGTGGTACCGCGGACGTATAACATCAATTTAACGCGAAAATTATTCTTCGCGTTGGAATTTCGCCATTCAAAAACCGCGGGTTCCAAGCTGGGCACGATCGGCGGCCGCCGCCGAGAATGCAAAGCATAAGCGCGAACCACAAGTGCATGTTCTTGAGCCCCAGGTTGGTGTGGCCTAGACTGTACTCAATCTCTTTGAACGGCGGAATTCCAACGTTGTGACTCGGTTTCGCGCTAATTTCTTACATCCACGGTACCACTTGAACGACGATCAGAAACTGGTCTTACGCGAGATGGCATAGCGGCCTTACGCGGTGGCTCACGCGGGCCGCCAGCGCGGCACGCCACATTTGAAGCAAAGACGCTTGCGCGCGACATTACGCGGGCAGCTCACGCGAGAATGTCAGCGCAATCACTTGTTGATCCGGCTCGGGGACTGCCGCAGAAATGAGGTCCAGGGCTCTAGTCGCGTTTGTTCACGATGCTGTAGCTGTTTCGCAACGTCGGATCTCGTGGGGGTGAGACGTGACAATCGCCATCAATGCTTGGAGATCTTGAACCACAGAACAAACACGAGACAGCCACACGACAACTACGGCACAACCGCATAACCGATGATGAACAACCGAGAAACAGCAAGGGGATAACCGCAGAACAACCGCGTGACAACCACGGGACAACTACGGGACAGCCACAAGACAACCGCGGGACAACTGCGGGGCAACCACGGGACAACCACAGAACAACCAATCAACAACCACAGGACAACCAGCAGGACAACCGCGGGATAACCACGGAATCGCGAGACAACCATGGTCACGATCATGTGAGCGTTTTCTCTTTCGGCGTTTCGACATTGGGCGGAGGGGGGGGAGGGGGGGGCTCTGGCTCCGGACCTCTGCTTAACGCGACTGTTTGCAACAGTGCGTCCTATGGGGGAGACTCCACCTGCTTGAGACAGGCGCCAAAAACCGCCAAGCCCTACTCCATGGAGGGGAAGGGGGGGGCGAGGGCCCGCGCCGATCGGCAAAACAATGAGTAAGAAAACGACGACCTCGAGACAGCCATCGGGATGACCCATCGGACCAGCCAGCAGGGCTGCAATCGGGACCCGGGCCCAGCTGGTGCAGGAGCCCGCGCCGCTTCGCCCCGCCCGCACACGCGACACGAAGCGACACGCTCCGATGTCCAGGCTGGGCGACTCCGCTTCACTTCGGCCTCGCCCCCGAACCTCCGATGCCCCTCCAGTCCCCGCCGCCCAGGCAAGACGCAAGGTTGAGAGAGGCGCTTGGTCCAGCCAGGGGCCGACAAAGTGGGGCCCCCTGGTTGGCTCCAGCCAGGGCCTGCTCCAGCCGGGCGCAGCGTCACCCGAAAGGAGGCCGATTCTGGCTTCAAGAATGCGACGTCTTGACTTTTTCAATGCGCGGTCCCCGAAGTCGTGACCCTTCTCCCAAGGGCCAGTTTTTCATCCCGAGGCGTCTTCGTCGTCGTCGCCTCGTCCTCGTCCTCGTCCTCATCCTCGTCCTCGTCGCCGTCGCTGTCGCCATCGCCGTCGTGGTCGTCGTCGTCGTCGTGGTCATGGTCGTGGACGTCGTCGTGGTCGTGGTCGTGGTCGTCGTCGTGGTCGTGGTCGTGGTCGTCGTCGTCGTGGTCGTGGTCGTGGTCGTGGTCGTGGTCGTGGTCGTCGTCGTCGTCGTCGTCTTCGTCTGCGTCGTCGTCGTCGACGTCATCGTCGTCGTCGTCGTCGTCGTCGTCGTCGTCGTCGTCGTCGTCGTCGTCGTCGTCGTCGTCGTCGTCGAGGGGGCCTCGGCGCCATCGGGCCGAGGCCGCGCCGGCGGCGCGATCGGTGCTTGTGGGGCTGCGCCGGCGGGGGGGGGACTGGGGCATGTCCTCCTCTGTTCTCCTGGCCCTCCTCGTTCTTTTCGTTTTCCTCTCTCCCCGTCGTCCTCCTCCTCTTCCCCCCGTCCTCCGTTCTCCTCTAGAGGGCAGAAAATCTCCCCATAATCCGCCGATCCGGCAAGTGAGTTTCAAAAAGCTCCAGCCAAAGCTCAGCTTTCAACCTAGAGCAAGAGCTTCAACTCAGCTGGAAGGGGGGTACTGGGGTGGCTCTGCCGGGGACGGGGGGTTGGGAGGGGGGTGCGCCAGTTCTCTGGTTCTGGGGGGGGGCTTCAGCTCAGCTGGGGGGCGTGCCAGGGTGGCTCTGCCGAGGACAAGGGGGTTTGGGGGGGTGCGCCAGTTCTCCGCTTTCATTTCTTTTGTTTTTACCTGCACATGAACATTTTCTTGCGATAGCGTTGGATAGTGAAGATTTCTTCTGTGGCGGATTACATCTTAGTTCCTTCTGTGGCGGATTACGTATAGATTCAGTTCGCAATGGATTGCAATAGGATCCCGTTCGTGGCGGATTGCAAAAGAATTTCTGTTGTGGCGGATTGCAGATTGCTTCCTTTGGTGGTAGATTACCCATTGGTTCATTCTGTAGCGGATCGCACATGTTTTTTCAGGATTGTAAAGTAATTGCTTTTTGTTGCGAATTACGCAAGGATTCTTGGCCGGCAGATTACACATTGCTTCCTTTTGTGGCAGATTACACATTGATCCTCTTTGTGGCGGATTACAAGTTGATTCCATTTGTGGCGGATTACACATTGGTTCCTTTGTGGAGGGGTATTCGGGAGAAAACCAAGGAGAGAAACAAACAAATGAAAACCAATGTAAAGTGTGAAAAGTGTTGTGTTTGAAATGCTTTTGGTGTCGGAGGCCAAAAAATATCAACACACACAGCGTTGTCAGCCTCTGGAGCTCCAACACGCAGAAATCCCTTTGTAACCCACCACAAGAGGAAGAATCTTTCTGCAATCCGCCACAGAAGGAACCTTTTTGTAATCCATCACAAAAGGAAGCCGCTTGTAATCCGCCACAAAAAAATCGTTCTGTAATCATCCACAAAAGCAGTCCTTGTGTAATTTACCGCAGAAGGAATCAACTTGTAATCCGCCACAAAAGGACATCCTTTGTTAATCAGCAACAAAAAGAAACAGTTTATAATCCGCAACAAAAAGGATCCCATTGCAATCCACCACAAAAAGGAACCAATTTGTTATCCACCACACACGGAATCAACTTATAATCCGCCACAAGATGAATTGACGTGTAATCCGACACAAAAGGGAGCCAATGTGTAATCTACCCCACATGGAATTTGTTTGTAATCCGCTACACAAAGCGTCGAATTGCAATCCGCCGCGAATGGAAACCTTGTGTAATCCGCCACAGAATGATTCAACTTGTAATCTGTCACAATAGGAATCCTGCTGAAATCCATCAGACAAGATATCAATGTGTAATCCACCACAACAGGATCAATGCCTAATCCGCCACAAAAGAAATACATATGTAATCCACCCAAAAAAACATATTTTTGTAATACGCAACAGACGAATCCGCTTGTAATCCGCCACCAAAGGAGTCCGATGTTAACCCAACAGACACGAAATCCTATTGTAGTCCGCCACAACAGAAATCAACGTGTCAGGCGCCATAACAGAAATTATGTTGTAATACGCCACAAAAGAAATGAATGTGCAATCCTCCATAAAAGGAAACATGATGTAATCCGACATAAAAGGCATAGATTTGTCACCCGCTACCAAAAAATGCAATCCGCCACAAAAAATCAACGTGCACCTCACCACCAATACTACTCCCTCCACCACTACTACCCTTTCTGGGTCAAGAAGGTGGCCGTGGTGGTTGCGGTGGTGGTGGAGGCGATCCCCTCCTACCACCACCGCCACCTCAATCGCCACCAGTACCTCTCCACCGCCATCACCGCTATCTTTTCTGGGTCAAGGGAGTGGCGGTGGTGGTTTTGGCGGTGTATGCGATCCCTCTTACCATCACCACCACCACCACCACCGCTCACTTCTACGAATGCTTCCATTACTGCTGAAACTACTGCCACCACCACCACTACAAAAACTACTCCGCCACCACACTGTGGTGCTGGAGACGATCCGTACCACCGCCACCTCCACCAAATTCTACTGATGCTTCTACTCCTGATGCTACCGCCATCAACACCACCAGTTACAGCACCACCAGTAATACTCCACCGCCACCACGTCCATCCTTTCTGCATCAAGGGGGTGGCGGTGGTGCTTGCGGTGGTGAAGGCGAACCCCTCCTACCACCGCCAGCACCTGCACCAGCGTCTGCGAATTCGTCTACTACTGCTACTTCTACCACGAATACCTCCACGACCATCAATACTACTCGACCGCCACCCGTAGCACCTCCGCCAACTCCTACGAATATTTTTACGACGGCTGCTGCTAGCACCATCTGCTCCACCGCCACCAACACAACTCCACCGCCACCACCACTAGCCTTTCTTGGTCAGGGGGCGGTGGTGGCTGCGGTGCTGCTGGGGTGCTGGAGACGACCCCCTCCTATCGCTACCACCACCTCCTCTACCAAGTTCTAGTAATACTTCTACGACTGATACCATCACTATCACCCTAACAAGGTCAACATGATTCAAAGGGACGGGGACAGTAGACGAAGGTATCACTGCTCCTTTGCAACTTGCACGCGTGCGCTCTTACTGGTCGTCGTTGCATATGAAAAGAAGTCCCAATCTCAACCTGATCGCACATCCGCTTTGTTGCAATAGAAACGTAAGAAACCAGCTTTGTTGACTAGAATCATATTTTGAGTCCGCGGGGGGGGTGCTCCAGCTCTCCAGTTCCGGAAGAGGGGGGGGAGGGGGGTGCGCCAGTTCTCTGGTTTCGCTGGGGGGGCTGGAACGTATTAAAATCCGCCAGGTTCGACTTCAGCTCAGCTGGTGGGAGGGTGCCGGAGTGGCTCTGCCGGGGAAGAGGGGTGGGGACGCCGAACGATCGCTCCAGGATGCCCGAGGTGGACTCAACACGGCCGAAGAAGCCGCCGAGACGGCCCAAGAGCCCTCCACGAGGCCATAGGACCCTACGAAGCCCAAGCCGTAAATTGTCCTCGGGTTTTACAAAAATGTTCGCCTTTCTCGGCTTCGGCTTTCCGACGCTACAAAACGACCCAACAGGTCTCCAAGACCGCCCCCACACGGCCCAAGAGGCTCCCCAGAGAGCTCCAAGATGGCTCAAGAGGGCCTCCAGACAGTCCACGGCGCGCCCACGACGGCCCCAGAGGGCCCAAAGACCATCTCAAGACGAGTCCAAGAAGGAGCCCCAGAATCGCCAATTCGAGCCCCCCGCCCCAAGACGCTCCGCAGAGGCTCCCAAGACGCCGCAAGGGGCCCCAAGAGGCGTCCAAGAAGCTCCAAGAGGCTCACAGATGCCCCAAAGAGACCCTACAGAAGCCCCAAAGAGACCCTAAAGAGGATCCAAAACTGACCCGAAGAGGCCTCAAGAGGGCCCCATGAGGCCAACATCGTAAATCCCACCAGCCCGTTGGACGTGAGTGGTTTAGAGAAGGGCTCTGCTAAACCATGTGAAACCCCCTTCTTCCCCTTCGGAGAGGGGTTTATCCCTCCCCCAACCCCCCTACCCCTGGGTCTGTAGGGGTCGTTCCGCGGGTCGTTGGAGAGTCCTTATTCGACCCATGGGAGGGTTAAAATTTTACACCTTTTCGCTTCCGATAGGCTCTTTGGAAGGTCACAATGGGTCCAAGAAAAAAAACTACAATGCGCGACTCGTAAAGTTCTAGCCACACGGAACGTCTCTGGAAAAGTGGCAGCGCCTCTCTTGTCCCAGCACATTCCCACACCGAGGCCAGACAACCCAGGTCGGGGGGAAAAGACGACAAGAAGAAGGAATGAGGAATTGAAGGAGGGGGAGAGGGCGGATGGCCGGAGGAGGGGAGGGACGGAAGGGGAAGAAGGACGGATGGCGGAAAGGACGAGGGCAGGAAGAGAGAGGGAGAGAGAGGAAGGGGAGGAGAAGATGGGAGAAGAAAGGAAGCACGTGGAGAGAGACGAGGGGGGAAGTATGGAGGAACCAAAGAGGATCACCACCATCAGAGCGCCCCGGATCGGCGGCACTAACCGGAGGCCACTACAATAATCACCCCGACAAGCGAAACCGTCTAGCAAAGGCACCCAAGGAAGGAATCGAACAGGGCAAGGCTATTTCGTAAACGCCCAGGGCCGTTGAGCAAGCGTCAATTGTCGCGTACCGGTGGTTTTTCCTCCCTTGACCCTCGACGACGACGACCTCCCTGCCTCCCTGCCTCCAGAGACTTCAGGTTGCTGAGCATGTCCCGTCGTAACTTTCTACCACGGCACCACGGGGCCGAGGAGCGCGCCACCAGCCGGAAGAGAAGCGACGACCCTCCAGGCAACCGCCCGCCCGCCAGTCCCCACAGCGGTGCGGTGTCGGCGTTGCCCCCGCCCCTTGCGTTGTAGTTGGCTGACGAGGGGAGAGATGGGCTTTCATGGAAAACAAAAAATTAGGGCTTGGGTTCGGGCGGGGTGAAAGTTAGAAGTTCGAGTTCGGAAGCCACGGAAAGCAAAGGCCCGGAACGAATTCTAAAGTTCAGGGGGAGACCAGAACATACAAATGGTTTAACAGGGCTTGGAAACAAGTTAGAAGCAAATTCGAATCCAACAAACTAACTAAGCTTCAAATTTGAGAACCGTTCGTGCAAAATTCGAACAAAATCGGAAACAATTCGAAACCAATTCGGGAATTTACGAAAAGTTCACACGCGATCCGGATATTTGGAATTTCTTCGCCGCCGAACTTTATCCAAACTTTTTCTGGACTGTTGGATTCTCGCAACTTTGAATTTGAACTTTGTAACAGCATTGGCCTCGAAATTTTTCCGTACTTTGATTTTGTCAACTTGGGGACCGTTTGCGCCTC